GAAGCCAAGCAGTCTTCTATTGTAGAGTCACTGGATCGAATCGACCAACGTCTCACTACATCTCTTACCTCTCCCCCTGTTCACTCAGTCAAACCCGAACTCAAACCGGTCTCTACTCCGCCTACAACACCACACTCTTCGCCCAAAGGGAAACCTGCTTCCCCAAAGCAGCAGATTGTCCCTGAGGACCTAAAACTTGGCGCTGCCAGTTCAAGCCAGCAGGAGCAACGTTTCCCCAAGATGGTGCAACCTGACAAATTTACTAGCGACGACGCCAAAGTGGACGTGTCAGATTGGATCGCTTCCATGAAGTCCTATCTGAGGGGATTCACCTGCCCAAAGGTCAACAAGGTGCAGTCCACTGTGGCCTTATTAGTGGGGTCAGCATTGAAGTGGGCGACCTCTGAGGCCACCAAGTCTCAGCAACAGTTATCGGATTGGGCTGTTGCAGTGGGCTTAGAGACCATCTTCCAGGGGTGGAGGCGAGGTTTGCAGATAAGGAAAAGGCCCCCAAGGCTGCAGACGAGCTGGTTAGTCTTGGCCAGACAAAGTACAGGGGTTCCCTGGCCAAGCTCTATGCAGAATTCGAGCGTCTTACCTCTACTCCCGGTTTGGAGATGTATGACAGGGACCAACTGACTTGGTTCATCAGGGCAGCTCCTGAGAAATATACCATGGCCCTGTATTTTGCCAGACACAAAGACTGGCGATCTTTTGGCAGAGCAGCCTTGGACATGGAGGCCACCCTCCATGTCCAGTCCACTCCCCTGAAGGGAGGCAACCCCTCTTCCCTGAGTAGGAGGAAGGGAAAGGGGAATTTGTATGCCATGGAGTCTGATGATGACTCCGCAGGCACTAGCAAGGGAGGATCTACTCCCCCAGCTGGCCAGGGTGCAGGGACATCAGCAGACCAGGCTGCTCAGGTGCTGGCCAAGGCACTGCTAGCCCTCACAGGAGGCAAGCAGTTCCAGGGACAAAAGTCCTCCAGTCCTAAGGGGTCAGGCAAACGCCCCGGTAGTCCGCAACAGCAGAACCTCCCGAAGTTTGCCAAGTGCCCCGCCAGTCCCTTGGACATTTCCTCCGCTCCTTGGAGGGATCTAAGAATCCCAGAGGGCGTATGGCAAAAGAGAAAGGAAARAGGGGTCTGTTTGAGGTGTGAGGGCAATCACTATGTCAAGGATTGCCCTAAGTTGAACCACAGCAACTGCAGCCATTCAAAAAATTGAGCAGGCCAGCAGAGGCTGCAACCAGCCCTGCTAAACTGAATCCATCTCCTTCAGGAGAGATGAATCAGCTACTGAGCCTGATTTTTCTGAGGCTGCATGGGACTCAATCTACTCTTATATTGAGCCCCTTCTTGATGAGCCCTCGTCTAAGGAGGAGCTTGATCAACTCTGTTCCCTTCATCTCCAGTTAAAGGAGAAGAGGAAGAAGAGATCAAAACTGATCATGCTCAGCTTCAAATTAACAGAACCAGGATCAAAGCCTTGCTGGACTGTGGGGCTACAAGGAACTTCATTTCTCAGAATGGAGTTCAGAAACTTCATTTGGGTATCAAGGTTACTGACCTTGAGCATCCTTTGGAGATACAGATAGGGAATTCCCAATCTGTCTCAGTCAAGCAAGTCATCAAAGGAGTGCCAGTCACCTTTGATGACAAGGGTGAAATCAGACATTCCCTGAATTTCTATGTTTTCCCCCAGATCCATTTGGACCTTCCTATGTGCTTGTTGTACCCTCTCATATCAAGACCTATCAGGTCTTCCATGCCTCAAAACTGCTGCCTTTCGCGTCTGCTGATGCATTCCCTGATAGGCCCCCGCAGTTTGGACCTCCAATTCCTGGAAAGGGATACGAATTTGAGAGCATCGAAGATCAGTGGGGCATAGGCCCCAACTGTGAATAGCTTGTGAAGTTTCTGTTCCAGCCTCACACAGAGGACCGATGGTTCCCAAGGAAGAAACTTCTCAAGTCTACAAATTCAGTTGTGTGTGCCTATGAGGCCGAACAGAAGGGACAACCTCTCAGACGTTCCCCTCGTGGACACCCCTAGCTCGGAGTCCTCGCTCCCCGGGAGGGTAGGAATGCAATGAATTGCAGTGGCATGCGAGCTGTACATTAAAGTTGTTTGATGTTGCCTGGTTCTGAGTCCGTCGGGATTCGATCCCGCGACTTGTTTCTCTGCTTGTTTGTTTGTTGGCTTTGTTTGCCTGGTTGTCTTGAGCCTTGTTGGGCTCGATCCCTAGACCTGTCGGCAGCAGTCTCTGTTGGCTGGTCATAGACCCTTCAGGCTGTTTTGGTTGTTTTAGTAGGAGGAACRTAGGCCCTCCCCTCTGGTGCTGTTTTCTGCCTAGATACAGTCCGAGGCTGAAAGTGCAAAACGAGGCTGTAGGCTGTCAGGTCTGGGAGGCTGGAGGGGAACAAAAGTACCGAGGGCAAAATTTTCGGGGCTGGTCGTCATTTTTTTTTTCCGACGAAGTGCTGCTGGAGGTCGCTGCTGAAGCTGCGTTAATTCCAAGTGCTGCTCCTCCTTCCTGATTGAAGGGAGCTGACGGCCATAGCTGGGCTTACCTGGCTGATGTGGAATTGGCCCCGGGGCATCGAGCCCTGCTCTGTGAGACGCTTCCTCCATTGCTGTCCAGATGGGGTTCGGACAGCTGCCATCGAAGCAGCTTTTCCATGCCTGCTTCGAAGTGGCAGGCCACCATCTTCATCGAGTTGTTGGGCTTCTTCATCGTTCAGGGAGCTGCCCTCCCTTGTTGATCGAACACATCATCTGCGGTGGGCACCGTGGTTGGACCGCTGGTGGGCTGTTTGGGGATACAAGGGCTGGTGGCGAACAGTGGGCTTGATAGGTTGGGCGCAGGCCTGCGCCATAGCTGTGAGCTCGAAGGTGTGGGAGGAAGAAGAAGTCTCCCTCGATGAAACTCTGTAAATAATTTGTTCGTAGGTGTTGTTAACGTGGTTGGGATTCTTGGGGTTCGTGCTGTTGATTGAACTGGGGAGAGACGGTAATTAGAATTGATTTCGTTTCAATTCTCTTGTGTTTTGGATTCTGTGTGCTTCCGTTGTGCAATTTCATCACCCGGTTTGGTGTGGTTTTCTCTCTCCAAGTCTACTGGCCATTTCACATGTGAATGGGAACGTGTGTATGCCATGCTGGATTCGTTTTCAATCAGGCACATAACACCTACCACCGCCCCCCCCTCCAACCACCGCTCACCATCAAACATCGCCCGAACGCACCCTCACCAATCAAAATATCATCCCATCCTCCAGGTCTCACGCCCGCAGCAGAAACCCAACACACCCACGTCATTCACACCACATTAGACACTAACATCAATTACCCATCACACCACCCCCCATCAAGATACACGGTCCAAGCTCCCGATAATAGCTCGGTCAACGGTTCACCAGCCTCCCAGATCTCTAGGGTATAGAGTTTTTCGCTTCAGAAGCTACTCTCAAAGTTACATTCAGACGATACTCCAACTCCGTCAACGCGCCACCAATAATCCAGGGTTAAGGGTCTTAGCCTCAACTCGGGCAACTTGCCACCAGTAATCTAGGGGTAAGTAAACAAGAGAGATTAGCTACGCCAGAACTTATATCCGATCAGGCAGCCGAATTGCTGAGAGGAGTAAGCTAGTCGAGTGTTGCATACCGTATAGGTGCAGACCAGAACAAGAACCGACCTTTCAATACAAAGTATAAGATAGCACAGCGGAAGACTTAGATACCAGTGATCCGAACAATCAATGTTGTAATGCAGCCTTGAACATACATCATCATCATCGTTTCATAGT